GACCTTTCTAAAAATGGGTGGAAATGTTCATTTCTTCACGGTACTGATTCAGTATCGAAACTGGATGAGCGCTATCAAGCGGTTACACGCTCATTTAGTTTTCTGCGCGAAATCGGGATGAAAATATTTCCCGGGGACGCCGCAAAAAGCGCTGATAAAAGCCTGAAGCGAAATGAAGATAGGTTATTTTTGACTAAGCACGGAACGAGACGACATTAAAACATATTACGTACTTTATTTCTCACTACGTAATCACTTTGCAAAACAGTTCAACACATAGAACGCTTTCGAAACTGTACAAAAGAAACAAAACGCACTATTCGCATCGGAAATCAGAACGTTCTCTGGTTCTTTCTCTGGAACTTTCTGTCTGAAAAATACTCCAGGAGTGCGGTAGTAAAACTAGATGTAATATGTACCGAAAAAAATTAGTATGCATAGTTTTTCTGTGCAATTACAACCCGTCTGGTATGTCACGTTTCCGTACCGATGGAAAATAAGGAAAAATGACCTTGTAAAATGAGCTCTTCCTTCGACAAAGACTAATCGCTGGGAGCTCATTTATTACAATGTCCAAATGATATATTTAGATCTCACCACAATATCGAAGTACTTTCAATTATATAATAAACTTTATCGTGGTTTAAATTAAATTCATAGATAGTAGTCGCAAATAAATCTCTGCATACGGAGAGCACCAAAAGCATGATTTAAGTATCTGTAATTAAAGTCCTTGAAACACTTTTGACGAAATAAATTCAAAAACCACTGATGCTAGAACATCTTATAACTTTTAGCGGGCGATTCGAAAACATAAATCTTTATAATTTTTGACAATTTAAAAGTTTATTCGAAAATGGCACATGGAATTCAGTAGTTTGCGCTCCATTCTTACAAGAAGTTTAAAATAAAAATTTGCATATGTTTTTATGAAATTTTTGTTTTTGACTTTATTCTTGATATTTTATCTTCTGTATGTTAGTTTAAAGGAAGTTATGTACAATTGCTGAAGAAAAAAACGTATTCTATTTTAACGGAAATACTCGTTAAAATTTGGGGATCCATGATACCGAAAAAGTACTTTTTATTGTGAGTTCAAACGTTCGGGTTCGGGTGTGGATAAGGATCTACGTCTGGCCCCGGGTTTGTATCTAAGCGTGGACGGGTTGGTTGGTTGTATGTGATTCCGGCGCGTCAACTACTAAGATCATTACTCCCGTAAGTGTGGTGAATGTTTCTTCGTCGCGAGTAGGCGGCAATCTGCTCCCGCTGGATGGCAGAATCTCGCACCGAAAATGCTGGCTAGCGGAATTTCCACAACCCGGTATCTCCCATATCTCAGAGCACCGCCCCAGCCGGGACATGCTCTGAGCCCCCAACCAGGCATGTGTGATAGTGTAGTGCATGTTAATGTGTGTGTGTGTGTGTGTGTGTGTATGGGGTGAGGATAGGACAAGGAAGAAGGAAAGATCGCGCGTATTCTGTGGCCCGATTGTTACGGTATTACTACGGCGTTCGCGTGAAGTTGATCGGAGAAACCACGGAAAACTACCGATCAGAGCAGCCGGTTTTTAGACTTCTCCTCCAGAGACTGACTGAATTCAACATAGCTGACAAAAGTGTCGAAAATATTGTCACAGTCAATCAATAGTGTCACAATATTGTCACAGGACTCGAACCTAGGTAGGACGGATGGGTCTGGGTTTGCGAGCAGGCCTGGGCTTGTGCCCGAGAGCGCACTGGCGAGCGCCGCGTCGCCGCCTGCCTTTAAGGGAGAGGCGCTAATTGCCCCAGAGAGGCGGGCGCTTAAAGCGGACGGCGAGAGCGCGCCGACAAGAAACGTCCTCCTCGCTCGCACGCACGACAAAGGACGCGCGTCGCGCGTCGGGAGGTTGAAAGCGAGTGATGCACGAGGGAGGACGCGGCGCCACACTTGCCTGCTTGATGTGCAGATAAAATGCATTTCCATATTAGGCGTTCCGATATCGGTTCTCGCGAATCGATAGAAGGTTTTTACTTTCTCGCTACCGCTTACGCTGTACAGAGAAAGTTGTTTAATTCTGCACGAAAAAATCGGCGAATTTTCGCCAGAAACTCCTATTACAGGGACCTGGTAACGAAAAAGTGGATAAAACCAGTTGCTAAAAATTATAACTCGTGATGTACCCAGTATCAATGTTTTGTGGGTTCTTGATACAGAAAAATGGAATAACGGCAAAACGTCTGTCCGTGTGTCAGTCCGTCGGTCTGTCTGTCCGTCTGTCGGTCTGTCGGTCTGTCGGTCTGTCCGTCTGTCGGTCGTCTGGGTCCGTTCTGATCGGTCGGTCTGTCCGTTCTGTTGTGGTCTGGTCGTCTGTGGTCTGTGCCGTCTTGTTGGTCTGTCGTGCTGTTGGTCTGTCGTCTGTTGTCTGTCCGTCTGTTGGTCTGTCCGTCTGTTGGGTCTGGTCCGTCTGTTGGTCTGTCCGTGTTGGTTCTTCCTCTGTTGGTCTGTCCGTCTGGTTTGGTTGCTGGTCGTCTGTTGGTGCAGTCCGTCTGTTGGTCAGTCCGTCTGTCGGTCTGTCGGTCTGTCCGTCTGTCGGTCTGTCAGTCTGTCGGTCAGTCAGTCTGTCGGTCTTTCAGTCTGTCAACCTGTCCGCCTGTCAGTCTGTCCGTCTGGTTGTCCGTCGGACCGTCTGTCCATCTGTCAGAATTACAATTGAATTCATTGATGCATTGTTTTCCGTATCGAGGCTCAGACCACCAGGCCTGATCTTCCGCTTGACCACGCAAATAACGCTACGCTCCTTTCGCCATCTATCAGCGAGAGAAGGAATCAATCGAGCCACGAAAATTTGTCATCAACTCGTAGGCTTCTTTTGGGATTGAGAATATTTTACATGTAGATCTACAACAGCCATTGCTATTCCACATCGGAAGAATGACGTACGAATTTTTTTTTTTCGCCCAATCCACGACGTGAAGCGGTTTTGATACCGCGGGTAACAGAACTAAGAATGAACACGAATCTCCATACAAATAAACACACATGAATTTTTACATATGCGAAGAGATATTCACCCATGCATGTTGAGAATTGTCTCTACGTGTTGGTGTATACTTTGAATCAAATAATAATAATAATAATAAATAATAATAATAATGTAAATTAATATAATAATAATGTTGAAATATTAAAAAATAAAAAAAAAGGGAAATATAATTAAGGAAATTCTAGAAGCCAGACATTCAAAAGACTGTTACAGACTACAATTAGTCAAGACATTAGAAAAGTTTTCAAACATTGAAATTGACATTAGGAAAAGGCAAATGAAATTCTTTGGACATCTTAACAGATTACTAGAAAATTGATTGACATAAAATACTAGATTACGTAATCTCATTGAAGAACACAACACCTTGGCTGAACGAAATTAAAAAATACTTCAGAAAAGCTAGTATACGATCAGATGGCATAGTAGAAAAAGACACCTTAAGACACAAAGTGGATAAGTGGGAAGTTGCACTAGAGCAACCGAAACAAAACAATAGAGACCAAAGTGGTCAGAAGAACGTAAACAAGCTGTCTCGGAAAGAATGAAAGGATATTGGAAATGCAAGAATAACCTAATGAAAAATTGAGTCACCTTGCATAGCGTCTTCCATCTATGGGTATAATAATAATAATAATAATAATAATAATAATAATAATAATAATAATAATAATAAAGTCATTATTTCAGATGATGGTTAGGCACACATTTTCACATACGTTAAGACCTCACAATATGGGCATCTACAAGCTCTACGTTATATAAGAGATTGCTAGCAAATATTTCATATTCTTTAAAAAAATATTTATCCTGATTAGGCAAAAATATTTATTTCTGTGATCTCATCGTCTATTTATCGCTTCTCCTCGATTTTCGACTGTCCTCGTCTTTCCGCCCTCTTTCTTTCCTTCGCCTAAGTTATTTGAAGAGAATTTCTCGGAGACGTGGCGAATTGCACTTTAACTTTAAAAATATGAAGGATTTTTTAAAAAACGCATCTAAAAATTCACGTCAAATGCAACCGGCAGCACTCGGTCAGTTTTATCCTTAAATAACTTCTAAACTAAAATTTGAAAACTAAAATTTTGACGCCATAGACGTCAAAGATTCCTCGCATTATAAAATACAAGCTGAGAGATTCATGGACAATATATTACATTTTGCCGGTTCGGCGCTTATCGATACTACCAATACCACTTACACACGAAGGAATACTGAATATATTCCCCCATGAACTATATTTCAATCCATGGTCCTGGTGGCCACCTTTGTGACGTAACGCTTGGAAGGCTCCATCTTGAATTTACTCTTGTACGCCTTTGTTAGCGCAGACTGGTGAGATTTACTTATATTACTATTAATTCAAGAATCGCTCTAGCAGCAACTAGAAGTTCTATTAATAGTTACTTGATACCGATGAAGATTGTTTCTTATTCGTGTAGTGCAAAAATTCATTTAACGTTTCGCCGTGGCCTACAAATGCTGTGTACCTACTTGGTAATAGAACTGCAATAGAAGCGGACCAAATGTCCCATGTTTCAGTTCCACGATACCCTTAGGAAAAAATAGGGTGGGGTTTAACATGAGAGAGTTCTCGCACGGATACGCTTGTTAACTATTAACCTCTTAACTAACCAACTACATTAAACCATTAATATGTCAATGAATGCTAAACATTATCGAATTATCAGTAGTTTCATACATGCGTTTTACATCTCCAATTTTTATTTCACCTCGCTCTATTACACTTGGATCTTTATTTTTCCTTTACGGCAAATAACAATTATTCTCCTTGTTTTTATCGTTGATATTTGAGAGAGCGATTGTTCATGTGTGATATCGTTATATCAACTGTTATGTCATTTTATGATAATAACAGTAAATTACTTTTTGTTGCAATCGATAATAAAATTCGTACCCAATCAACATTTTTACGAGCGAATTCTTAGAGCCCTATGTCTGTGTGTGCAGGTTACTTCGGCAAGTACTTGAACAAGTACAACGGCAGCTACATCCCCCCTGGCTGGCGGGAGTGGGGAGGCCTCATCATGAACAGCCGCTACTACAACTACTCCGTCAACCTCAACGGCAAGCGCGTCAAGCACGGAGACGACTACCACAAGGTGAGGCCCTCAGCTCGTCATTCTTCCCTTGTATTGTTTGCTACGGCTCATGAAGCAGAGGTCACCAGGGGAGGCCACCGGAAAAGTGAAGGCACCAAATGAATTGGAAGTGAACGTAGCAACACCAGTGTGTAAAATTAATAATAAATGTAGTTGGGTTAACCATCGTATATTATATTTTTTTAATGTTTTTAAAAATAAGTCATTGTTTATATGATCGGCCAAAAAATTTTCGTTTGTCAGTTTTTGATTAAAAATAAATAGGATTTGTGCGTTTGTACTGTGTATTGTTCTACGCCTTATGAAAAATGGCTCTTTTTTTCTCGAAATATATTTCTTTAATCGAAATGTTTAAAATCTTTAACAAATTCGGTAGTTTAAGACTTGAAAATGTTTCTGAATTTGAATAAAATGCTATTTTAAAGAGTATAAGAATAGTAACCCGACTTCAAAGTTCTGTACGTTTAGTGAACTCTAAGAAAATTGATAAAAGTTTACAAAATATTATTGGGAGCCCTAAGCACGTGCTTAGTCTGAAATGTAAAGATTTCGCGACCGGATTCAATAGACACATGGCTGTCCGAGAGATCCAACGTTTCTGTCGCCGTACTAGGACCTCCGTCAGGGCCCAACGCATTTCGCCCTGAAGAAGGTCGCGGAATGAGGATCGAAATGCTTCCATCTTAGCACGCGTTTAGGGCGCGGTGTCACCCGACCATCCGAGAATCTCCACGCCTAGCTTGCCTGTTTGTAATGATCAGGGCTCGGATTCTGGTATTATATAAATTCTTTGAAAATGACTCATAAAATCACTTAAAAATAAGAAGAAAATGGCTTAAAAATAAGGTGGAAACAACATATTTTGTTTGAAAAGTGCTAAACATTTTTTATTATTACCATTATTTATTAAATTAATTTTACAATTTTAAATAAAATTTATATAAATATAACTATATTTCGTATAAAGTCTTTATTTTAAGAAGAGCTGAAATCCGTAGCTTCGATCTTCCAACCGTCAGTTTGCAAAAGTGAAAGGAGTTACCGAAGATAGTCTAATTTTGAGAAATCGAAAAACAGAGTCGACGTCAGTAGAGAATTTTGTCATGAACCGATGGTAAAATAAAATCATTGTTTTAGAGTGTCGTTATAACCTCTTGAACATGATGACAAAAATGACGCAGAAAAAAAGATAAAAAGAAAAAATATTAAAAATGGCAAAAATGACAAAAAACATCACTCAATTAATATATATTTCTGACACTTAAATGTCATGATAAACATTAATTTACAACTAGCAACGTCTAGAATGCACCAACGAAAAGATAGCGTACCATTAGAATCCGAGCCCTCGTATTTACATGATGTATCCCATTGTACATATGTTGCGTATATGTAACCACCTATGTCCCCGTGTGTGTGTGTGTGTGCGCGCGCAGGACTACTACCCGGACCTGATCGCCAACGACTCGCTGGCCTTCCTGCGCCACTCGAAGCAGTACTTCGCGCGCAAGCCCGTGATGCTGGTGCTGAGCTTCCCCGCGCCGCACGGCCCCGAGGACAGCGCGCCGCAGTTCTCGCACCTCTTCTTCAACGTCACCACGCACCAGTGAGTACCCGCGCGCGCCACTTCCACTTGATTCGGTTGACTTTCGTGAGAAAACGGTGACTGCACGTTGGTATCACGAGAAAACAGTACGTGTATGTTCGTGATCAAACAGTACGTGTCAGTGATTTAGAGATACATGAAATTCTTGAATGAAAATAAATCAACCAAAATAAATTACCAGTGAGTACCCGCGCGCACCAATTCCACTTGAGTTGATGGATTGTCGTCACTAAACGAGACCCGCACGTTGGTATCACGACAAAACAGTACGTGTATGTTCGTGATCAAACAGTACATGTCTGTGATGAAGGGGGAGAAGTTTAATCTGTGCACGATATCTTAAGCTGCAGAATTCCCACCCACTCTTTTACACTACATAGTTGAATGTAATTATTTAATTTGGCTACATGAAATTCTAGGATGAAAATAAATCAAAGCAGACCTCCGGTTGAGAGCTGGCAGTGAGTCTCAATTAAAAGCGCTAATAGTTATAATTCCTTTGCGATCTTATAGTTGATCCATGAATGACTATTTTTCAGATGTTTCGTAAAATTAACTATGACGCTTTAGTCTCAGATATCTAAAAAGCAGTATGTTTTATTATTTTGCATGGTCATCTCCACTTCAGTTGATGGCCGGACGCATTAATCAATGACAGGATGAGAGGCCACTGTTTCTGCATTAATTACGTACACAACGAAACATTTAAAATGATTTTCCTGTCGAGTCACGTCACTCAAGTTTTTGAGGATCTAATGCAAGTACAAGTAGAGCGGTGGAGACGCAATATGCGTGAAGGAAGAGATCTGCATAATGGCGGGAGGTGTCATCTTCTTCATGTGTTGCGTGTAAGTTGTCGTCAATGGGACTGGTCGTGATCGATTGATAAGTTTTTCCGGGAGCGTCAACTGCTAAGTTCATTACGCTGTGGATCTATTATTGGCATTCATTGATTGATTGATTCTTAGTGGTTCCAGTCGCGTCAACTACCAAGATCGTTAGTCCCGAGAGTGTAGTACATGTTTTGGCTCGGGAGGTTGCGATTGGACTTCCCTCGCTGGCTGGCGAGATCCGACTTACCGTCGGCGTTCGAGGACTTTCCCCCTCCAGGTATCTGGGAATCCATCCCAACCGGGACGAGCTCTAATCTCCCGACTGGTCTTTCACTAGTGTGGTAATGCACTGCATGTTAGTGTAAGTGTGTGTGTGAGGAAGGGGTCAGAGTAGGTCAAGGCAGAAGAAGGAAAGACCGCGCGCGGTCCGTGGCCCGTTAGAGTACTGATTCGGTATTCGCCTGGTTGATCGGAGAAACCACGGAAACTTCCGATCAGAGCACCCACATGCTAGAATTTTCCAGACAGCGACTGAACTCGACCTAGCTCTCCAGCTAGCGTCGAAAATCCTGCCGCCATGGGGCCTTCGGCGGAAGAGCGGGAGGTGCGTGTCGTCTTGCTAATGCGTGGCATGTGAGGCGTCGCCAATGGGGCTGGTCGTGAGCGGAACGTAATCCATCCATCACAATGGGCTATGACGCGCGCGGCCCGCGCCGCCCCCGCCGCCCCCGGCGCTCGGCATGCCGCGCATGTGCTCGTCGCCTCCGCCCGCGGCCCCCGACGCAGCGCTCGCGAGATGAGCCCTCGCCTCGGTTGCGTGCAGATCGGAATTAGACGAGATGGGCCACTGTTCCTTTTTTCCTCGCCTTTCCTCCTGCTTCTCCTTCTCCTCCTCCTCCTCCTTCTCCTTCTCCTCCTCCTCCTTCTCCTTCTCCTTCTCCTTCTCCTTCTCCTTCTCCTTCTCCTTCTCCTTCTCCTCCTTCTCCTCCTTTTCCTTCTCCGTCTCCGTCTCCTTCTCCTTCTCCTTCTCCTTCTCCTTCTCCTTTTCCTTTTCCTTTTCCTTCTTCTCCTTCTTCTCCTTCTTCTCCTTCTTCTCCTTCTTCTCCTTCTCCTCCTCCTTCTCCCTTTCCCTCTCCCTATCCCTCTCCCTCTCCCTCCTCCTCCGCCTTCTCCCTTTCCCTCTCCCTTTCCCTCTCCCTCTCCCTCTCCCTCTCCCTCCTCCTCCGCCTCCTCCTTCTCCTTCTTCCTCCTCTTCGTCTTTCTATTCCTCTTCCTTTTCCTTCCTTCTCCCTCTTTTTCCTCCCGCTTCCTCCTCCCTCTTCCTCCACATTCTACCCCCTCCCTCCTTCGACTTCGACTTCGACTACGACTACGACCACGACCACGACCACGACCACGACCACGACCACGACCACGACCACGACCTTGGACGTCTTCTTCTTCTTGTTCCACTTCCGTCTGTGCCCTCGCATGTTCTTCTTGTTTCCTTCCTTCCTCTTATTGTCTTCTTTTCACTCCTTGCCTCTTTTTTTCTCCTATGTATGTTGTTGTTATTTACTTCTTGTCTTCTTTCCTTTTCTAATACTTTTTATCATTTTTTCGCCTTCCTATTTTGGTTCTTCAGTCTATTCTGCTTGTTCCTCTTACTCTGCTGTTTCATCTGATTTCACTTAAATGATATTTCACTGCTTCTGCTTACTTATCTTATTCTGCTTCTCGTTGCATTTTTACTTCTTTGCTAATGCTGTTGTTTAATGCTGTCATTCTGTTTCTTTTTTTTCGTTATACACAGATTAGAGGAAATATATTAGTCTTTCCTCTGTGGTATAATCGTCGTATGAAGCAAATTGTTCAATATACGTAACCGGGGTTTTTTCTTATTTTACTTCTAACTGTTACTGCTTGTTATTATATTCCGTATTTTTATGGCTACGATTACTTACCTTCGAATTGCCTTATCTCGCTATCATCATTTTTACCATCGTATTTTTTTTGTCGGAAAAATAAGTCGACCCTGCCAGGATTCGAACCTGGAATCTTCTGATCCGTAGTCAGACGCGTTATCCGTTGCGCCACAGGGCCTGAAGTTGATGGTAGTAAGTAGTTCATTTGGTTCGGGGAGTGTGAGAAGGGATTTACAGACGCAATGAAGCTTTTGGTGGAAATTCAGACAGAGGATTCCCGGAATGCGTCAAGGTAAATTACACTTGGGCGTGAGGCAGCCGCCTCCACTGCACCCGAAGCGACAGGCAAGGGACCAGGGGAAACGGCGAAATGAAGACCTCGCTTGGCGGGGCGCGACGTATCTCCAGCATTCACTTAATGCAACTGTATTTATGTTGGAGTATTAGCGAACGATGTCACTCTTTCTTTAGACAATTTCCATCTGCCATCTTGTTGATTACATGTTATTGATCGAACAATAACTTCGAAATAATTGCGAAGTATTGAAATAACAATTTTGGCAGTAGCCATTTACGATACGATTTTACATTATATGCATTCTATATCATACAGTGAATATGTAATAGCATGCAGAGACTATGCAAATGATTACTTCAATTGGAAGATTAGGAAACAGGAACAGGCGGAGAGAGAGAGAGAGACGGAGAGGGAGAGAGGGAGAGAGAGAGAGAGAGACGGAGATGGAGAGGGAGAGAGAGACGGAGAGAGAGAAAGAGAGTACATGCAAGAAGAGACAAGAGGAAGATGAGTGAAAGAGAGATACAGAAAGAGTAAAAGAGAGTGGAAGAAAGTGATAGTGTCAGAGAAGAGGGATGGAAATGGAGAAACGAAGAGATGGAGAGACGAAGAAATGAGAGGAAGAAATAGGGAGAGAGGAAGGGATGTGAAGAGGAAGAAATGGGGAGAGGTGGAGATGGGGAAGGGGTAAATGGGAAGTGGAAGACATGTGGGGAGGAGAAGATGAAAAATAAGATGGAGAGAGATGGAGATGGTTAGCGGAAGAGATGGGGAGAGGAGGAAATGGAGAGACGAAGAGATGAGAGGAAGAAATAGGGAGAGAGGAAGAGATGGGGAGGGGAAGAAAAGGGGGAGGAGGAGATGAGAAGAGGAGGAGATGGAGAGAGGTGGAGATAGGTAACGGAAGATATGGAGAGAGAATGAGTTGGAGAGGTAAATGATGAGAAGTAAAGAGGGACCGTACGTCACACGGGACCTCTCCTTTCCTCATCCCCTCTCAGCCTACTGTGTCTTCGCGCCGGCGCGTCGCGTCGCGGCACGGGACGCTTTCCGGGAAGTCCTCTGCGGCGCTGCGCGGGGCCTAATTGACAGTGACGCGCGACACGCGGTTTTGGGCACGCCCCCTCCCCCTCCCGTCCCTGACCAGCCAACCCAAGCTCCCCGCCGCACGGGATTAATTGGTCACGCGAACTGACAGCGCGAGAGGCGGTGGCCCCCCCGCGTCACAAACCCCTCCCAGTTCCTCCTCACTCTCCCCACCCACCCCTCCCCATCCCACCCTCTCCCCTTCCGTCCACCCAACCCCTCCCCACCCTCTCCCTCCTCATCCTTCTCACGCCTCTCCCTTCACCAACCCCCTATCCACCCACCCCCTCCCCCCCCCCCTCCTCCTCCAACTCATCCACCGGCCAGCCCCCGCGCCGCCTCGGGGCACACGAGGACGAGGACGAGACAGGACGAGGACAGGACGTGGGGCGGGGCGGGGACGGGGCGAGCCCGGGGCACCTCCAAAGTAAATCCACGCGGCGATCGAGCCCCCCCCCCCGCGAGAAATTGGGTTGAGCAGGCAAATATTGACGGACACAATTCGGAGGGGGTTGTTGTTAACCTTTCTAACACGAAGAATCAGCTTCGTGTAAAGCGAAGTCAGACGAAAGGACACGCGAATGATACGTTTGGTTTGGTGTCCCGCGGGCCTATTAGATTTCTAGAGAAGGGGCTTAGGGGTTTAACCTCACGAAAAAGCTGATATTCCCAAAACAATCGCTTTGGCTTTTCATAAAGAGACATTTATTCAATTATAGGCTGTAATATAAATGTATGTTAAAATCAAATTCCATACATCTTTCGAACTTCGTTAGTTATTCATCTATCTTGAATCTTAGAAAGGAAGTTTAACCAGGTAGAATTAACAGAACATTTGGAGAACAAAAGTAATTTTCTGTTTTCCCATTGCAAGAATTC